CTCTGACTAGCAGTGACTCACAAGGGTGCTTGACCCACCCAATCAGGAGCCACCTGAAACAAAAGCCCCCAACTCCTTCTGACCAGGGCAGCCCAGAGAGCTCGTTAGCAGCAGCCCCACCTAGCTAGAACTTCCCAGGAGAAGTTAAGTCAAGGCCCCCTGCAGGAGTCTTTGCCTAGCTCTCCCTTCCTGCTAGCAGCAAGCATCGTCTAGTTCCTCGGGGGTCCCCAGAAAGTCTCCACAACTTCCAACAAGGCCCACAAAAGGCCCAAGCAGAGCCCAGACACTGCTGCGCAAACTGCTGCATCTGTTTGCTGCCTCTGGGAGCTGCGCTCTAGGCCTGGCTCTTATATAGGCCTCATTTCAGCTTTGTTCATCTGTCTACCTCTGTGCAAAGATCTCGACCAGTATTCTCTCACCCTTAAAACTGCTGCAGGTTCAGAGTAAGAGGATGATGATGCCACTTGCCAGTTCTCACAGTAAGAAGAAGGGAGCAACTATTTATAGTCCTAAAGACAAGGATGTTGAGCTCAACAAGAGAAGGTGCCCCTTATATATAAGGAAAAGGGACAACTAATGCTGGAAGAGATACAAATAGATGGCACTAATGCCTGCAGATCTGATCACATTTGGAGTCTGCACAGCCCTCAAGAGGAGAGAGAGGAGGGTTATATCCAAAAACCCTTTGCACAGTTCTACTGCATGCATCCACCCAGCATACATCTGCCAACCTGTCAGTAACTACACATTATTTCAAAGTGACCTCCAGTGCACCGAACAAGGAAATAAATGCACTAGCTCTGCTTTAAAGAGTACATAGTCCACATCAGACATGTGGAACTACTCACATCACACCAGGTCAATCATTTTCTGGACCAGAGCCTGAATCATGATCAGATGGTGAGAGCTGGGAGCACTACAGTGGTAAAACCTTAAGTTTACTGAAAGATAAATTCTAAAAAGTTCTAAAGAATCTCATCCACAACCAAAGGGCTCTGCACACCCAGGTTGTAGGTGAAGACACTCATTTTGATGGTACTGTTCCTTGCTCTACTATTTCTTTTTAAATCATTAAGTTCCCATCACTTCCAATAGAAGCAGGCAGCACTAACCCAGCTGCTGAGAGAAGAGTACCCCCCCCAAAACCTCTGACAAGTTGCCATGACAGAGACAGAATTTGTAGTAACAAGAGACCCAGAATTTTACCTGAGACTGCACAGACCTGGTTTCAAGTCCTGGCTTTGCTACAAGTTTCTTGTGTGATCTCACATTAAGTAGCTTATTCATCTGCATGGGAAAGGGGAGGAGGGGGGCAGACCTTCCCTGCATGAGCTAAAAATGGAAAGGTTCTCAGTTATCAGTGAAGGTAGCTGTGCAAGCCCCCAAGACACACGACGTTGTCCAG